TGGAAAGTACTACAAAACACCTATAGGCGAAAATGAACGGTGATTTCGCCTATTTTCATCACCATTCAAACTTCATCACATGGTCACAGGTGTCCGGTAGTATTTCAACTTTCATTTTTTTTACTAATCGGAATGATCTGAAATTTGGAGTGTGTGTACATTTTAGTGAGGAGCACTTAATAAAAATATGAAAAAAATAATTCTAAAAATGTAAATTGACCAAAATACCCCCATAAATTTTCAAGGGTATTTTGATCAATATATATTTTACGAATTATTTTTTTTATATTTTTATTAGATGCGCCTCACTAAGTCGTACACAAGCTCCAAATTTCAAGCAATTTGAATTTGTAGAAAAAAATAAAAATTGAAACACTATTGGACAACAGTGAACGTGAGATGAAGTTTTGATGTTGCTAAGAGTAGGCGAAATCACTGTTCATTTTCACCTATAGGCATTGGGAAAAATTTTCTTTTATATATATATATATAATGATCCTATGAGACCCTCCCACACCTAAGCACCATCAAATGTGTCAAATTTAATGATGATCCTTTGAGTGTAGAAGGGTCTTATAGTGTCATTTCTCACACATATATATGTGTGTGTGTGTGTGTGTGTGTGCGTGTTTGGGTGCGTGCGTGTGTGTGTATATATATAGTGCTTTAAAACACAACAATTCCTGATCTAGATGGGAATTGATCGAGACAAACCAATTCAGGGATGGTATGGATTTTGGCATGGTTCCGCCCTAAAACCCCATCTTATATATATTTTTTCCTTTTTGGAAGCTTTCTAGTATTTTGTTATGTCTCCTCCAAATCCCCAACCTATAAACCCCTTTTTTAATTTTTATTTTATTTCATTTATTTCCAATATTATTGGATCACAGATTTCAACTGATCCACCCCCGATCCAAATCACCGATCCCAAAGCCCAACACGGATCTATGGATGAATGATCCACCACACCGATACAGGTTGTTCTTTCCTCAAAAAAGGAACCTTAGATAGTCTGGGAATGTCTTTTGTTAAAATCACAATTTATTGACCTGTTTCTTGTTTTGGGTTTAGATAAAGGAGAGTTTTGAGTGTGGGATGAAGCACGGGGGTAAAACAACTCCTTTATAAGCCTCATATGGCCTTAAGGACAAGTAAGTTGGTTTCAACTTTCCTTTCCTATTCGACCTGATAGAATCACAACTATATCCTGTCTTAATGAAACTGAACAAGATTGATCGAGTCTGTTGAACTTTTATTGAGTCTTGACTGGTGTGAGTCTCAACTGAGACCTAACCAGAGTTGACCTCCTAGTCATATTAACCCAACCAGTCTTGAAACTATGAGTTTACTCAGTAAACCACAATATTACTTCCCATAAAAAGAATTACACTACAGAGAAATAGCTACAAGAAATTCTTTATTTATTTTCTGGGAGGTAACATAATTGGGAAAATCCCCACTTTAAAATATTCGAATCTAGCAAGACTCGTGCCTCGAAGTAGTTATACGGATGAACATTACATTCTTAAATATTTGTTCCCAATATATATATGGCCAATAATCCATTCACCAAGAATTTGCCAAGTTTCCTTGAGTACAAGTAGTGACTGCAATAGCTGAACAAAGAAAGAACATCTAATCTTAAGATATACATTCAGAAGCTATTCAACATATTGAAAGATCAATATTTCATTTACCAATAATGTCTCATGGCTGCTTATGCAGAGAAAACACAAATACAAGGTATGAAGAAAGACCGCCCCCAATATTCAGAGTTACCTTTTTTGAAAAGTAATATTAAGAATTACGCATGTCACTGAAAGAGTTCAACAGCCCAGATCAAAAATCAAAGGTCAGGATGTGCTAACACACAGACCAGTATCACGCTCAAGAGGCTTGGCTTTAGGAAATGAGAGCCACAGTGCTAAGAAGACTACTTTTCATTAATAACTAGCTTTTCAAATGGAACTTTTGGGCTGCGATGAATTGTTGCTACAACACTGATGCTGTTGTTGATGTTGCCAATGACATCCTCAACATCGATATTCATCTGCCAATATCATCAATTACATGCCCATGTAATGGCTATATCCGGCTAATAATGCCCATGAGACACCCTGATTACAGATGGTGAGCGAGGATTATGCATGGAGGTCTTTGTTAGAGCTCCAAACTGGAGATTTTGCACCAACAGCATCAACGATTATGCCAGCTCCATTTTCCACATTTATGAGGGGATCAGTTTCACTTTCCTTGGCCTGTTACATTGGAAAAACTGAAATGTTAAGCCACTGATGGTTTTTAAGGTATATTATGAACACAAGTCCATCTAAAGTACTAAGATTAAAATAGCAGACGGATAACAAGTAAGTCACAAGCCAGACACATAGACTCAAAGCAACATACACAAAAAGGAAACTGAAATGAAATAAAATGGAAGCAAATAGAGAAAAACTAAGAGCTGAGGGTTTCAAAATAGATGAGTGTTCAAATTGTTCATGCAAGCGGCTTGTGATTTGATGTCCACAAATGGAAACATGCTTCACTACCACACTAAGATAGAAAGTTGTTAATGCATGTGGCTACAAGCACCAAAGTCAAGAGGGTATGGAGCTCTAAGTGTCAACCATGTGGTATGTGTTGGAATCCCAAGCTTACCCCCCACAAACAAAGGAAAAGTGGAGTTAGGGATGCAGATTCACATGCATGTATGCTGGAAAAATGAAGCAAATTTGTATTGTCAATTTGTAATAAAGATATTATCACATATTGCACATTACTAGGGAAAGAGGCCACCTAACTTCCCTTATATATCAGTGTTCTGTTCATAATTAGGAAAAATACTCTAAAAGAATTGACAAATAATCACTCAACCACGCAATGAAATGCATATAGAATATAGACATTTTAAAACACATGTAAATGCCAGGAATACATTACTAGGGAAAGAGGCCGCCTAACTTTCCTTATATATCAATGTTCTGTTCATAATTAGGAAAAGTACTCTAAAAAGAAGTGACAAATAATCACTCAACCACACAATGAAATGCATATGGAATATAGACATTTTGAAACACATGTAAATGCAGGAATATACTCCAAGCATTTCTAAACTCAGAATCTTTCTTTGAATGGAAAGCATACTAATCCACATGATTATCGAAAACTACAGTCCACTGGGGGTCATCACCATCCAAAAGTAAATGGATGGTGATGGAGTGAGAGTGGCACCCACAAGTGGGGTCATGTCTCCCTCTGCTTGGTTGCCACTCTGTCTCCATCACCATCCATCCTTCTATTGGATACAATAGACCCCAACAGAAAATGGTTCTCCTGAATCCATCAGTTCACAAATTCACAGTATACTTACCCTTCTTTAATATGAAGAACAAAGGAACACAAAAGCATGTATGCCTAATTAAGTGAAGAAGGCCACATAGACATGTGCACATGCATTCACATGCTGTCATGCACAACATAGCATGCACATACGTTGCCAAGGCCCATAAGTGGAAAATCGCTCACCAACAGTGACATAAAACTAGCAACCTATGCCTAATTAATTTGAGAAAAGAATTAAATGTTCTTTATGCATGTTTCAATACATGCATACACAAATGTATTTGTTGATAGACTAATATAGAAGTCCATCCATGCAGCAGATATGCATGCAGATAAGCCAAAAAAAGTGATATCCTTGTCCACCAAGACATGACATGGAGATGTAAACAAATCAAAAAGCTAGCTCCCTTCCTCCCTCTCTAAACTGTACAAAATCACCCAATGGGCCAAACATCTCTAGCTAAGGAGATTTGTTTGATCTGCATTTCTTAATTCATCTATCCTTCACATTGTGAATGATTTCAGACCAAAAAAAAAAGATGTTAAGCTCTAGAAAACATAGATATCAACAAAAAAGATGGTCTAGAGCTGTTCTTGGAGAAAAAATTTGTTTGAAGCACCTTTTGAGCTCCAAAAGAATATTTCTTATTTTTAGATTGAGTGTACAGATGAATAATGACGAGAATAAAGATGATTTGAGAGATTTGGCATTAAACATAACAGCTAGGTGTTTGGACCTCGAGTGTCACACAGATCCGCACACGAGCGCGCGCGCACACACACACACACACAAAAAGAATTTTTATCTTAATTGATATGGCCAGAACTGGGGATGGGATCTTGTGATTTGGTCCATTGCATCTAGCTATTTGTAATTATCCTATCCATGTGATGTATTTAACCTGGTTTCATAGACCTACCAATTGCCCATGCTTGTATATTTTTTATTATCCATGCAGAACACATCCACATGCCTATCAGTGTTTGTTTCTGTGCATTTGTGCATTAGGTTCTCAACACCAGAAAAGGCCAATGCAAGAGAATGCTCTCTCTCTCCCTCTCTCCCCCCTCCAAAAAAAAACATCCAAGGAAAAGTGGATACACTTTCAATACTAACACCATCTTAGACATCAAGTCCCAAGATAGTTGACAAAACCAGCCGATCAACCCGAAGTCACCTGGGTTGAACAGACCAAGTCACAAACCAAATTTAATTATGCCATGAATCAGTTGTTTGTAATATGTCATCCTTTGTAAGGGTTTTGTATTTAATAGAAACCAAAAGGGTTGGCTGGCAGGCAATAATTGATACCTACCTTTTTCACACAAAACATAGCATACCTTTTTCCATAATTCTATTATTGTACTTTAATTCAGTGTTTTATAACTTGCCGAGTCCGACTCGAGCGAGTCACTCGGACCCAACAGGATGCCCTGATCTGAGCAAAAAGCCTTGAGAAAGAGCCAAGTCTTCACAGTTCCCAAGCATTTCTTTGTTAAACTGTTCAACATTCAGCCGAGTCAACCCATCTAACTCAAGCTTGGGATCCTAGCAAGTCCTGACCTGAGTCCAGGGTTTAAAACACTGCTTTAGTTCATAACTTTTGGGTTTTATTTGAGCCCCAATATATGATAATTTTTCTGTCTCTTGGATTTCTGTTTTGTTTCAATTTTTAATATTCTCAATTATTTTCTATATTATTAATTTGTTATTAATTTTTAATATTCTCAACCTGTCGAGTCCGGGGTAGACCCAACCCAGTGACTAACCACGTCCGGTTTGGAAGTCCAGGTTTGCAAACTATGAGTGTCATCCATTGGTTCTTTCAACAAAATATCTTAGACATTCAGGGAAGTGTAATAGACAGACATGGACAACCATGTGCAGGAATTCAGTGTCAGGGTAGTAGCACGTAATTTTGCAACAAGTTTGATGATGTGTTCTTCCTTAGTCCAAAACATTGAACCGCATGTTAGAGGAGTGTGGGCAAGTGTCCATGCGTTGCAGTGTTAGTATATCATGACAAAGACATAAAAGGACCTTGGGAGCGTGTCATGATGTCCTTTTTATGGGGACAGTTACAGGTCTCATTGGCCGAATCCGTCTGAAGTGCACCTAAAATGTTCATTGCACCACTGTTTGCATGCCTAAAAAATTAAAGGAACATCTTTGGGACAATCTACTATAATACAAAGAGCTAATGCCCAAATGCCTACCTGTAGTCTAGCCCGTTTCACTAGTTGAGAGGGAATCGTGCCAGCAAGTCAATCCCGATATCCCTCGACTTAACCCGTAAATTGAACTTCGCAATGCCCATCATCTTACTATCCTCATTATGCTATACTAGAAGTAGTTAGTCTTATAGATATTTATACAATAAGAAGATCTATAGATAGTAGTCTAACTCTTGCTCTCTATCTCTCAGTTCTATATTTTCCGTTTATTTGTGGGAGGGAAGGCAGAAGCACATACAACTTTGCCATGTCTATCATAAGCAAACGGAAGTTTTCTTTTCCATGTCTACCATAAGCAAACAAAAGTTTTCAGATTGTATTGACCATTCTTATTAAATAAAAGTGAAAGATAGTAGAAGAAAACACAAGAAAAATTTGAGAAGTATGGACTATTCAATTAGAGAAAGAGAATAAATTTTAGCATACCATCAAAGACAACAGGAAAGTATAGAATAACAACTTTTCCGAATGTAAGTTTCTTGAATCATGATTGGGATAGAATTTTCTTGGAACATATTGATAGACGCAGAAAACAGTTATGTTTATTGTTTTAGGTGGACTATGGGATTCCACAAATTTGGTGAACTGGTCTAGAAGATTGCTTCTTCTTCTTCATCATCATCATCATCAGAGCCTTTTCCCAACTATTTGGGGTCGGCTAAGAATCTAAGATTGCTTATGAGACTCATTTATCTACCAAGACTCTTAAGCCATGAGCTAAACCTGCCCTTCAAGACCTTGCCCAAAAAAATTTTTTGTTTTAAATCTTTCACTGCCATAAAGAATTGTCAATAGATATTGACGATAGCCTGGTGGCCAGCATCAATCTTAGTATGATAGGCAGAAAATGGAATATTCAGTCAAGTACAAATTGAAATAGATGATTAACTCCTATGTGGAAAGAAAATGTATACAGAAATGAAAGATTAGTGAAAGAAATAGCGTACCGGTGACAATTGTGGGGCTGCCTCACTTGCTTTTTGCTGGCTCTCAAGAGTACACAAGTAGGAATACAAGACCATCCCCACCAAAGCAATCAGAATCCCCAGAATATTACGCCAGCTAAATGGATCATGAAGCAAAACATAACCAAAAGCCAAAACCAAGCATGTCTTCAGATGCCCAAGGACTTGATATGTAACCGGTGACGTCTTGCCAATCACCAAAAATGTACTAAAGTTGACAGAGACTGAGATCAAGCAAGATAGAACAATGAAAACCTGCAACAAAAATTATCATAGCCATTACGAAAGTTCAAGAGAATAAACAAGAGATAGGCATGGAGCAATCAATCAGGGTCATTCAACATGGATCAGATTGGCCAGTTCACCATAGTTCATGTGAAACCAGTGACAAGAGTATATGGCTAAACTCCTGAACCAGAAAGATAACCAAAACATAGTTTCATCAAAACTTGCCAGTCAAGGCTGCAATTCTAGAACCAATGAGAACCAGATCGAAACCAGTTTTAAGTTTGGACCAAGCTAATCATCAAGAAATACCAAAAAGAGCGCATTTTTGATATCTTGGGTAGATAATCCAAGAAAATGGAGAAGTTGAGGAAGATGCCGCACATAGAATTTAGAGCTAGGTGGGCGAAGTGGAAATGTGCAACCGAGGTTTTATGTGATCGCTGCATCTTAAAGAAGCCAAATGGAAAGTTCTATAGGACAGTTGCGAGACCAGCTTTGCTTTATGGGGCAGAATGTTAGATGGTCAAGAAACAACATACTTATAGGATAAGTGTATCTAAGATGAGGATGTTGAGATGGTTAAGTGGCAAGACAAGAAGGGATAGAACTCGAAATGAATATATTAAGGAGAACTTAGGTGTGGCTCCAATAAGCAATAAGATAGAGAAGATCGACTTAGGTGGGCTGCCCATGTGTAGCACAGACCCAATACAACATCTGTTAGGAAGTGCAAGTTGGTTCAAGTGGAAGGCTCAAAAAGCGCAGGTACCAAGGTTTCGAAAAACGCTAGGCAACCCCTAGGTGGCCGGGGGCCCAACGCCCGGGCGAGCGCCTAGGCGGGTGCACAGAACCTTAGGCACCCTGTTGTACAAGTTATATAGATTTGTAATATATATACATATATTTGTGTCAATTTTAGAATTTATTACATTTGAAAATATTGTAACATATTTTTTTATGTACAAAAATATGACATCGCATGGTGAGAATAAATTTGCTCAAAATTTCAAAATTCAAACTATACAAAATTTAAAACTCTAATACGATATTAGTAACAGTCTCTAACTCTCCATATTTCATAATAAGTGAAAAGGTTTAGAAAGGTTCTTCAAACCACAAAAAATACTTTTGATTCTTAGAAACAGGTATAGCTAAGACATTAAGGGTTTATGGAATTTTTCTTTTAACTTTGGGGGACCCCATAACCTATTTAAACCCCAAAATTATCTCATTTTGCCTTTTGGGTTTTTTTTTTAAAAAAAAAAAAGTCCCTAGGCGCCTGCCTAGGTACATCCGCCCATGTAGAGCCGCCGAGGTCTGGGCATGCGGTAGTTTGGTCCAAGCCGCCTAGGCACCGGGCAGACCATTTTTAAAACATTGCTCAGTACAACACCTGTTAGGAGATGTGAGTTAATTCAAGTGAAAAGGCCAAAAGGACATGGTTGGAAGTAACGAGAAAATATATGCAGATTTATGGCCTCAATAAGGGTATGGTCCTTGATAGATTAGAATGGCGGACTAGAATTAGTATAACCGACCCCAAATAGTTTGGAAAAGGCTCAGATGATGATGATGACCACCATGCTGATCACCAAGACCAATCAGTTCCATTAACTTCCAAAAGCTTTGATAAAAGTCCACCAGACCAAACCAATCAGTTTAAAATGGAAAGATCAAAACCAGAAGGCTCATTTCATTCAGGTCAAACAGTCTGGCTTGAGGTATTTAAAAAATGGATTGAATACAATAGTCCAATGGATTATGGAAAAATATAGTCAAGTAACCATCCAAATGAAATGATGGATGGTGGAGAGACACTGAGACTCATTGGCACAAGCCGTAATGCCAATGGTGGGTCCAACCACTCTCTCTACATCATTGTCCATCGTGTCATTAGATGGTTATGATGAAAATTGACAATTGCTTTTCATAGTCAATTGGAGTATAATACACTTTCACTTTAAAAAACCAGTTGGAAATGGACTGACTCATAACATAGGTACCAAATCTGGTTTTTTCTTTAGGCCCACAGTCTATAAAAACTGTTTATTCATAATGCCTCATAAGTTACCAGAACTTGAGGTGTGTACTTAAAGGCAAAAACATTTTGGTTCGTCAAAAGTCCATCCAAGAATGGACCGATGATGAATAATGTCATTGCTTGATATGGGCAAGATTGGTACAATAGTTGTGTTGATGAGACCTTGAACCTCTTCTGTATTGTGTTGGTCATCTGAAAGAAGCCAATTAAGGTGCTAAACAAGAGAACTGTTCATAATTTTCCAATACAAAATAATAATCAATTGAAAAGAAATTTGAATAAATGCATGAAAACTTGAATTAACTTTGATTTCCACATTGTCCTTTGCAATTCTATCAGCTTCCCTTGACCAAGCCCAAAGATGCCAAAGACCTCTGCAAGAGACTTCTGAAGACGGAGTATAGTATGAAACTCTTCAACTTTTGGCCATTTTGGCCAGAATCCAAATGGGTAAAATATTCCCCATGGGCAATTAAAAGACTGTCCTATGTCCAATATCAATGTGAATTAGCAAGGATGGTCATACACCTCCTCTATTAATAATAGTTCTTTATGGTATTTTGAAATTCGCCTGGCCTGTAATTTTTTTTTTTTTTTAAGGAACCTGATCTGTAATTATTCAAAGAACACAAGCTTCATGTCACTTACTGAGCCATGAAATTTTTTTCTAGAGGTATATAGTAAAACAGAGAAATTCATAGTGCATTATAAGCAAACATAATTCTTAGATTTTAGATGGATGTTTTAAGAATACTTTTATTACGGATGTAAGATCAAATGACAACCCAACAGGCAAATGCTTTTTACATTAACATTTGGTATATATTTCAGAACAGTGAGTGGTTTAATTGCCGATTGTGAGTTCCAAAATTATTGAAGACAAAATAATTCATTTTCATTAGTAAGAGTCCCCCCAAAAACCAAAGCCCGCAAGTCCACAATATTTTTGCTTCCACCCCTATGTCACAGGGATCCATTTCTTCTAATCCATTCTCAATCAGGAAGCCACTTCACAGGTTCTGTAAATCACCAACAACCTAGCTCAACAACCCACATTGAATGCAATTTAAAAGCATAAAATAACTGGAAGAGGATACAATTTGCGCAACACATGTCGTGACAACTGCAAGAAGCGATAAGACAGAACCCAAAGCATTGAGCTGCAAATCAGTCACAGTTGCAATGCCAACTCCTAACAGAAGGATGGTAAGAGACAGTTGAATACTCCGACTGCAAAAGGAAAAGCTCAAATCAGTCTGTACCATATTATCAAATCAGATATTTATATCCAATGGAAATTTAGCTTTTTATAGCATTGGTTTGTCAGCGAGAACAATTAAAAGATGTTAGGCACCAGGATAGAAGCAATCCGATGGGTGTGCATATGTTAAAGAGTTTAGCTGTGAGGGCATGAGAATAAGAAGGAAGATGTCAAAATAATTCCCAGAACATCGGCATAGATTGTCCAGGAGCTCCAGAATCTTAAAAGTTGAGAATGTGTCTCATGGAATCAATTTTCCCTAAATTACTGTTTTACCCCCACAGTCTGGTGTTTATAATTCCAGAAAATGAGGCATTTTACTCAACTACATCGCATGAATAGGGTAAATGGTGCTTTAGAAAACAATTAATGCAGCAAGGCACCACTTAGAAACTCCAAGTTCATGGAATACCCCGACAATTTATGTGGGAGTTGCAGACGCTTTTTTGTTGTTTTTCCTGAGCAAAAGAAATTATGCAATTTGCTTTAAAGTTAAATTAGAAACATAAGGGCCTTTGTAAGCCATGGAATCATCTCTATGATGCAGTAGTGGAGAATGTTGCAAGAGTTGGTTGGATGATAGAACACAATCCTATCTTATCTTACCAATGAAAGTTCTTGCTTACTAAGCCCGTAATGATTAAAATAGCAAGTTTTTTAGTGCCTGGGCTTCAAGCACGAGCACCTTATGGCATGGATCAAGGAGGCGAGGTTTCAGGATATGGAAAACCCATATTCCATTGGGTCATCACCATCTTGGAATTATGGACGGACATCAGGTTTTGGTGGGTCCCACTCTCCATCACCATTTACATTTTTATCCTCTTATCAGTAACAGTTATATTGTCTTAATCTCCCTGTTCCTTTAGATTGCTAAAGGGGGAGAGAAGAGGACTCACTTGGTTAACAAGAGGTTGACTGTGGAGCCCACATTAGCTTTGGAAAAAGGGAAGAAGATGACAAGAGGACATAGATCTATTGATCCATCCTCTCAAAATAGGTAACAAGGACCGTTGTGGAAGTAGGCTCGCTATAGGTGAGAGAGTGTTGGCAGAAAATGTTAGGGAACCTCAAAATTTTGGGATGAAGTTTGTTGTTTACAATTAAATGCCCAATGAGCCCAGGGCATATTTAAGATCCAGTAAAATCATTATCAGTGAATGTTCAGAATCTTCAGATGAAGCAAACAAGCATTAGCTACCAAAAAATAAATGAAGTATACAAACCAACATTTGCAACACAACTCTGAATAGCAGAGGGAACCCGACCACCCTACCTAAATTTTTTTCGGAAGAAGATGGTCTCCAAGAGAACAGTGCATGGAATGATTGCTAGCTTTGTCATCTGATAAAAAGAGATTAAGGAAGACATCAGCATAGAATCCTTCTATTCTATTTTGAAAGGATAAGTAACGAAGGAAAATTAGCACAAACCATGCATGGCCAAACAAGAATTCCATCCTGGAACAAATTCAAATGATTATTAACAATATAAACTCCACGTCCAGAGCAATGACCTTTCACCAGTGATGAAATTGATAGAATTCATGTCTACCTAAGGCCACCTAAAGTAGGCATGACTTTAAAATATTAACCACTTTGAAAACACCCAATGATGAAAAAATTCATCAAGTTTCACTCAATTCAAACAAAAGTATAATTGCATCACCACCAAACATTTACCGCTTTTCATCTGCAAAGAAAATTTCCTAAAAATTGCTGATGACTCCAAAAGAGGGCAAATTTTTCTCAGTTAGGGTATTCTACTAGAGATAGATTGCAGGGAAATAAGTTAAATTTGCTTCACCCATCACACAAATATATACATTATACAGTAGACCAGCATCACAAAGACCAAAACAGGCCAGCCAAGGTTCGGAATTCAGATGCATAAATGTAGCATGCATGGGAAGATATTTTAAACACTACTCCACAAAATGCAGAGGTGTGTGTGTGGCACGTGCAAGTATATGTACATAAGGCAGGTCCTCAAGTACTCTTCCTCTAAAAATATTTGAAACGTTAGATGGTGATAAATATAGAATCATGGACTTAATAATCCAATGTTAGGCAGTCCCATAAACAAGTAGTTGGATCCTTCCCTAATCCATTCAACAAATTCAATTTATAGGACAGTCAGGATGGGCATTCAATGAAAATTTAGCGAGTTGGACAGGACTGTGACCTGAGTTAGTCAGTCTGAATACTGTTTTCAAGGTTAGTTCTCATTACATAAAATTGTGGGGCCTTTTTCATCTATACAATTGTTGTTTGGTTGTGCACTTTCAGAACTTAAAAGGGAGAGTGAAAACGACCTAATCACATCGTTGTTTACTACTTCACTCAATACTGGATAATTTTAACTTTTATTTATATGAACAAAAAAAATGTAATCTTCGGAGGTCCCGTGCAAAATTTAGGAAGACCGTAATATAGAGAATAATGAGAAAGCAACAATAGTTGGTACGAGAACATTGCAAAATGTAGTTAATAGCTTCTCTCATAAATATACTAAAGCCAAATCTGGGGAAATTTTGAGCAATGCCTATCATACCTGATAGAAGCCAACAGAGTTAAAACCCAAACTGAGATTTAGAAGCCCAATAGAGATCCCATTAAGTATGCCAAACCCCATAACAGCCCGTGCATCAAAAGGCTTGTGTTCGAAAAGTCTCATCCATAACGCCACATGAAGAGAACAGAATGTCACTAGTAGATGCCAGCTGGTCAAAGTTGTAGCTGAAAATCAGAGATAAGAAGTCAAATGACACCAGTAAAATCAAGAAGGCAATAAATTTGTGAATATGCAACCATAGCTAATCATGACATTTACATTAGATTTTGTATGTATCATACACGCTGCATTTTATGTGTTGTACATGTATTGGTCTGATTTAGTCATTTTGAATTTCGGATCCCACTTATTCCAGAATTTAAGATATTTAGCCTCTCATGATTTACACTTCATTAAAATCTGCTTTTGTTCTCAAACCTATCATAGTATCTGAGGCAACAAGAACACAAGGCGTCATTTGGATCTCCAATTACCAGTCCTCTTTAATATATCCCACCGACAGTGATCAAGTTGGAGCTCCACAACATCCCTTGCCAGGTTGCTAGAAGATTCTTTCTTTTTTGTGATCTAGTATTTTTATTTTATAACTTTTCTTCTCTAAATTTCCAATATTAACACTATTCATGTCCCCAGACATGCAATGGATTTTAAACCCACTTTTTCCACAGTGATCCACTCTTCAAGATTGTAGTTTTCAGCATTTTTTGATATTGAATTTCATTGATTTACCAAAACCTCAACGCATGATTCTCTGAAATGTGGGAATCCCAATTTATGTCTGTATATTGTGACCTCCATGGATCTCGATTTATCATGAATAGCAGAGATTTTTCCAGATTCTTTTGAAATCATGGAGCATAGACATAATAATCTCGAGAAAAAGCCCATTTAAAGTCCCTAATTTGAATTGGTTTATCCCAAAGGAATCAAATTCACCAGGTGCTCCTCCACAACTCAAGTCTTATGGTCTTTCAAATCACCTTTTTACCTTTTGATAAGGTCCACCATTCACCTTTCGGAAGAATCATAAAACATCAGACCGACTTTCGCTTTCTTCTTCATTAGATGGTACTACTCAATCTGCTTTAAGCAAACGATTCTCTATGATTTTCTAAATCATTCTAAACGGCTGAAAAAAAAAAGCCCCAACCTCCACAATTTTGTGATAAATTTCTTGGCATGTTGTTGTGCGCTATGGTGTCAAGTACAAAACAAGGATCCTTTACGACAAAGCATACAATTCTCACCAGAAACTCAAATCATAATTCTCGACCGTATGCCATACAGCAAATTCTTGAATGGAGAACATCATCTTGATATACATGAGACTCTTGAACCAACCTTGGTTACCATAAATGTGTAGTGTGTATGGGGGCAGGACTGGAAATCGGTGTCCATTATAATCACCAAAAAATTGAGGAGCGAACCTTGGTTACACGTATGGGCAGGCAGTCCCAACATGAAATTCACGTAACTAAGGAATTGCCCAACAAGACGGATAGATCTGAATAGTAAAGGTTCAAGGCTTTCTGATTCAGTGAGGACCTACTTTGGATCCAGCTTCAATGGGTGACACCCATATGATCCACTTGCTATTTTTTGACAGCAAGGATTGCTAGTTTTCTCAACTTTTTCATCAAAATCGTGATCCACACACTCAGAAAAACTCATAAATTTGTAATTGGAAAACCAAGTATTAACCAGACGAAATTTAGGTCATTCCTAACCCAATTTCTCTCTTTTTTTCTTTCTTTTTCTTTTTGGTAGCCCTGTTCAGATTTTGATTAATATCTTATGAAAATACTAGTTTTCCAACTCACAAATATATGATTATAGAAATAGTAGTCATCAAATACTTCGCTGCCAACAAAATCTTCCTCCTCCAGCATATATTATCATTATTATGTTTCTTTTTCCTTTTGTTGTTGCTGTTGGGGGAGGTGAGGTGGTTCCATTATTATTGCGATTATCAACAATAATAGAAATTAGAGATTCATAAACAGATAGAAACACCTACTTATGATGATGATGAAACAGATAGAAACAGCTACTTGTATTCCGAAACATTAAAAGTAGCTTAATTTTCATGCAAACTCTTGAGTCACAAAGTAGTCTCCTAAGTCCTAACATACCACACTATCTTACTAACGCTATCCACGAACTACAACGTTCACTGAATCCAAAAGAACAAGATTACCAAACTTCAATCATTGATCAAATAAAGAGAGATATGGAGAAAAATTCAGAAAATAATAAACTAGAAAATACTTACCAAAAGTAAATCCGAGTGTGCTGATCAATGCCTTGTTACATATGACAATTGAAACCGAAGAAACCACTGATAAACTCAGAGCCCCAACTGTTCCAAGCTGAAACCTCTCTCCTTCACTCATGTTACCAGTCCCTCAGTTCCCTCTGAATTAATTTCCTTCCTCGAGAATTTCAAAATCCTTAGTCTTTCAGTTCAGCCCAAAATGATGCCACTAAGAAGAGCCAAAACCTAGACAAAGAAAACCCAAATAAATTTCTTTTTTTTTACGAAAGTTTAAAGTAAAACCCTAATAAATTTCAATTATTAAAAAATAACTTAGATCTAACTAAAAAGGTGCCCACTAATCAGATCATAGTTCTTAATAAACACATAAAACTAAGATAAAAAAAACCAAGATGCATAGCAAAACGTTGAGGGAAAGCTAAAGAACCAATGATCCCACACTTAAATAAAAAAGCAGGAAAAGGAAAACAAGAACCCAACTCCAGAACAACCCCAACAGTTCATTACAAACCAAAATTCTACTCCATAAAGCAAAGCCTCCGAAAAGAAAACCAAACTCAACAGGGAAAAGATCCCCCAAAAATAGAAATCCAATTTTAGTCTTCTAAACTAACCGGAAAAATTCAGCATTTCCCATCACTCCAGAACAACCCCAATAATTCATTACAAACCAAAATTCTACTCCATAAAGCAAAGCCTCCAAAAAGAAAACCAAACTTAATAGGGAAAAGATCCCCAAAAACAGATATGCAATTTAGAAGGCAAAAATAACCGGAAAATTGAGCATTTTCCAGCACTCCAGAACAACCCCAATAATTCATTACAAACCAAAATTCTACTCCATAAAGCAAAGCCTCCGAAAAGAAAACCAAACTTAACAGGGAAAAGATCCCCAAGAAAATGCAATTTAGAGGACAAAATTAAGCAGAAAAATTCAGCATTTCCCAGCATTAGATCTACACTGCCACTCTTTTAACCAAAACATTCAAATAAAATAGCACGCGAATGCTAGAGAGAGAGAGAGAGATCAATACACTATAATTAGATCTGCATCATTGAATAAAGTCAATCAAAAGGCACTGAAAATACTGTGAATATGGGACTTTGATGCTTAATTTCCAAACAAAAATATGTTTGATGATAGGGAAAGCTCACCTGGTGTGGGGTGTGCAGGCCCGGTCCTCTGTACGCCTTCAACCAAAAGATACGAATCAAATAAAGAGAGAGAGAGAGAGAGAGAGAGAGAGAGAGAGAAGAAGAGAAGAGACAATAAGAGAGAAGAGCGACAATAAGAGAGAGAGGACAATAAGAGAGCGAGAAGAGACGACAAGAAGAGAGAGAGGACGAAAAG